AACCGCCACCTGTCCACAGGCTAATGCGCATGCTTCGGAGTCCGGTAGATCATCGCACAGACAAGTGTCCAACGACAGCACATAGCTTGAATCTTCTGTCCGGAGTATTACGACGAGACAGAGGGAATTTTCCTGATATTTTAGCAATTTTTCCGGGACTGATAGGACCACTTACTGCAGAGTTATGACTTTAGTTATTTCGCCAGCCAGCGGGCCGCAGAGGGCCGGATTCCGCGCCTCGGTTCCGCGCCTCTGCGTCCCGTTTAGGCAGGTAGTTTTCCAACTGTATAGTAGACCGGTAAGCGCCGGAGCGCGTCCTTTTAACTTGTGGGAAGCGTCCTTGTCTCTTTATCATTGACAGTGACGCTTCTCACAGGTGAGTCTTACTATAGATTTCGTCTCTTTCTTTTTCTATTACTTTGTGAGGGCAATATCATTGACAGTGACGCTTCTCACAGTCGTTCTTCGAGTGCTCGATTATCTGCGCCTCACATCTTCTTCCGGTGACCGATGCTCCCTTCCCATCTCTCTGTCTCTGCCTGCACACTACAATACTACAGAGCTTCAAGAGGGAGTGGAACGCACCTTTGATCATCTACAACGCTCTAACTATTCCTTTCTGGCCCCCGAACACGATTCTTTCCCATCGTCTATTCAAGTTCCACCACCAACGATACATCATCTCTCTTCCCCCAGCCTCCTTATAATACCAGAAGAAGGATCCAGCCGAACATTGAGGGAGAAAGACAATGAGATTCTCGCACTTCGGGGGCATATTGGAGTGATGGAGGATCAGGTTGTTGAGGGACGGGATGTCGTTGAGAGCCAGATGGTGATGCAGGGCTTGTACAATGATGAGCTGAGGGAGAAGTTGTATACTGAAGAGACGAAGCGGTGTCGGTGGAAGGCCGATGCTTTGGCACACACAACAGAAGGTCACATTTGGTCGGGTCCCGAGTTCCTTGCTGCTGTAGAGGATGATGATAGGAGGGTAAGAGGAAAGGAGGCAACGAAAATTGACAACAAGAAGGCGAAGGAATGGAGAGGACAGGAGAATGTTCGGGTTGGCCAGGTTCACGCAACGTTGGCGGGCGAGTGGGAAGAGAAGCGAGATAAGATGAGGGCGCGGTGTGGGGCGGGGTTAGGATACATTGTATTAAATGTTTCCGGGTCATCCACCATGTCATGACTAGTCTGTGTGATACAGTAAGTATGGAAAACATCGGTTTTTAGCTGTAAATGGCCAATTCTGCAGCGTATTTGGATATCTAAACATAATTGATGGATTTATGTGCCAATCTTCGTGGGAGATAAGGTGTATGTATCACAAGGTAAACGTCCAAAAAGAATCCGAAGTGATTAAGCAGCCTATACTCAAAGTGCACAGAGTGCTCATTCGGAGTTTGCAAGTAGAGAAAGACTAGCAAGATGTCAGTAATAACGCAGTCAGCACTTTGAAAGGCTTGCGACTACAACAACTTCGTCACCTTCCTCACCCATCACAACAACCTCTCCCTCGATAGTGTCACCCAAGCCTTCTCGAATGAGAAGCAATCCCGCAAACATCGTGCTCTGCAGAATGAAGACACTCCTGAGCTCGCTATGCAGTCACTCTCAAACCCCTTTGCTTCTTCTGCGACTCCCCTTCCCACATCGTTTGAGATTGTCCTAAGATAAAGTCTGCATCGGAGCCTCTTCACACATGACCCTTCATCGTCATTGGTGCTGCTCATACTCTCCCCACGTCGTGCCCATTTGTTTGGCCGATGATTCTATGCGCTTCACATCGTCGGGCGTGACGTCGCTTTCAAGCGAGCTGGAGAGCTGCTTTTTACCGCCTCCATCGTCGACGGCAACATTGGCTATCTCAATGGGCGTACTTCCTCCTTTTGAGTTCATCATACCCATTTATTTTCTACTTTGCCACTCGATCTCCACCGCCGTTTCTCTCATACTAACTACGACACCGTTGAACGCGTGCATACACTCAAGCTTGTCGATGGTCTTACCATTTCTTCCTCCTCTACACCCAATCCTATCTGCGAGCCTTGCCTATCTAGGAAGTAATGTCATCATCACGTTTCGAAGACCGCTACACCTCGCTCTCACCCTCTCGATCTCATCCATAGCGATCTCAAAGGTCTCCTCCCTCCCACCCGCAACGGGTACCCCTACTGGGTCACGTTTATCGACGATGCTGGACGTTTCAAGGCGGTTCAGTTCTTGAGGAAGAAGAGTGAAGCTTTTGGGGCTTTCAGTGTTCAAGGCGTATGCAGGGAAGGCGCTAGGGAGGAAGATTAAGATGTTGAGGGACGATAAGGGAGGAGAGTATATTGGGAAGGATGATGCGTATTGTGCAGAGGAAGGGATTCTTCGCCAGCATACCGAGCCGAACGAAGAGAAAGATGAATGCACGTACCGCCATAACGCTCAATAAAATCAAGGTAGAGGTGCGCAAGAGCAGTGGCAATGCAAGCAGCATTCCAAATGACCTCCATGAACAGGAGCTCATCCGGCCACTTGTCCTTGAATGCGTATGCGGGAAGTCCAATCTCCCCATACCCAGAGCAAGGTGACCAGGCTTCTCGTGTCCGTCACCAGAGATCTCTTGCCAGGGACCTACGGACATTAGTGGCTTTCGAGTCGTACCATTGTGCTTCCCAGGATAATAAGCATCAAAACCTCCCGGATTATCTTCAAGCATAATCTTGCGAACGATATCCCTAAAGTATACACTGTTTAGGTACAATAATGAGTACATCAGAATAAAGTAGCGTACCGGGGAGGTAGGACCAAACGATTCGCAAGCTTCGTCTGGATGAAGTCTGGCCCGTTAAGCTGCGAACCCTCCCATCCACCCTTGTCGACTTCGCCCAGAACAGCTTTGCTTGGCCAGCTCAGTAGGGATATGCTTACGAACATAGGGAATGTCGAATTTCTTCTCTAATCCCGCCAACTTTGTGTTCCTGTGCAAACATCAGTATGATGAGCATCATCTCATAGCCAATTAATGCAAGCACTGGATGTAGAGATTGTGCTCGTTCTGGAGAGTGCTCTTCTTCTCTCTAGTATAACGGGACTGTGTATAGTGTGAGGCCTAGATAATCGACTGGTTAACAGGACGCGCTCCGCGGCTTACCGGTCTACTATACAGTTGGAAAAGAAACTACCTAAACGGGAACCAAGCGCCGGGTTCCGAGGGTCGGAATCCGCAGCTCTGCGGACTGCTTGAAAGAGAATAACTACCAAGTCATAGCTATGCAGTATGCGGTCCTATCAGTCCCGGAAGGATTGCCAAAATATCAGAACATTCCCTCTGTCTCGTCGTGATACTTCGGACACAGAGCGCAGGAGGGAAGCTTTCAAAGCTTCACCCTGTGGATCTACCGCAATAAATATCAGTTGGAGCGGAACAAAAGCAACATAAAGGACCAGATGGATTAACTGCAAGTAGGCGGCCATGATCGGGAAGAAGATTAGGGTAATATAGGCGACTTACAACCCTTCACACCATGTGCATTTCTCTCAGACTGGTTGTGCCTAGTAGCACAGGCCGATGTGACAGCAGTAAGGGCAGCTAGCGTCTGAGAGGAAACAAGATGAGAACAGGAATAACATCATTCACAAATCCTAATATGAGGAGAGGTCCTATGGTGATATCACCTGCACGTTACAACTGAAAATTTAAAAAAAACCAGGCATCGTGCCTGTCATGCTGGGTACAGCAATGGCCTCTCCCCCCATATTTGACTTTCTTTGTGCGGACAATATGTTGAATCAGCGTCCTTTTCATCTTCTCGAAAATACCTACCACAGCATGTTTCTATGTATCCAGTTAGAAATATCATGAAACTAGCCTAGTAAGGCAAGCAGCACAAATTTTCGCTCTGAAAATAACACAATCGTACCAAGCCGCCATCTCTTCAGGAAATTCTGCCCAAGCTGTGCTGGAAGAGAGTGTGTCTGTCGTATATGCCCCGTTTGTGAGGACCGAGAAGGTGATGTTGATTAGTTCGACTATATGTGTCATAAGGTGGCTTCAGAATTTTGATTTGGAGCCCTCGTCTCTTCGCCACTCTTATCACCCGAGTCGTCTGTGTCCTCCTCCACCCGACGATAGAACTGCCCTCATGACCTCATAATCCACCACAGCTTCTCCCTCACTCTCAACCTCCATATGCCTCCAGTGTGCCGTGAAAAGCACTAGAAAGTGCAGCAGAGGATGAGACCGTAGCAGTTGTCTGAGCTCGAGCAGCTTTCGCAGAAGCATAGGCAGGTGGTGGCAGAACTCATTTACGCGTTCGTGGAGGAAGCATAGCATCATTTTCGTCTAGATCAGTGTCTTCAAAAGCTGTCAGTTTAGCGGTACAGTCATTTACCGGTCCTCTAGACACCCAAATCATATTTTTCCTGTATCAATCAATTTGGCACTTTTTCCCATAAAACATTTTGTGTGTATATACATTATGAGTGCTCTCTATCGATTGAAACAGCTTTGAGACCAATCAGGTAATGTTTGCACGAGCAGCGAGTAAATTTCGGGTGTCTAGGTGACTGGTAAGGGCCACATGGCCATTTTCCCACGTTTTCCCCCTTCACCAGAATTTGCAGAGCTTCACCGAAACGTGCAAAGACCACCCAGAGTAGCTTATTTTTGCTCAAAAATAACTTAGAAACATGAATTACGAGGCCCGAAGCTTTCACACAAATTAGCGAGAGGTGTCTAGGTGAGTGATGGTGTCTAGAGGACCGGTAAATGACTGTACCAGTTGGGGAGATATGGTTGCTCTGCTCGACAGCTTGTGCAGGCTGTCCTGTTCTTGTCAGGAATAGAAGCTCAGAGGGGGCTGATGGCCCAGCACACACAGACACAGACACAGACACAGAGATGGGGTACAGAGACAAGGGTAAGGGTATGTACATGGACGGGTTTTTGCAACCTAACCCTAACCCTAAACTGGGAGAACTCCGAACTGTGCCACAGTGGCCCCACAAATGTGCGCCACAACCACAACCAACAGTTCTTGCACTGTTGTTTTCGTTGTTTCTTGCGTTCAACAACCGTGGTGAAAGGGAGAAAGGGCCGAAATTGGTGGATTGTGATGCACCTTCCATGGCTGTGGCGTACGGATCCGCTTCCATCTACAGTCGTTTGCATGTCATTCTGGAATCGCAGCGCGAGAACAGTTGTTTGGTCTGAACAAATATGTGACTGTCGGCCACCGGGCCGGATGTGTATCCCTGCACAAGACAACTGGGCTCACTCAGTCCTTCCCTCAACCAACGTCCACACTGTCCATACTGATACACACCATTCTATTTTGTGTTAATCTTCACGCACAATCACCTGCTGCTTGACCTCTCCAATTCATCCCACGCCTGCTAGGGACATACACTGGGTAAATCAGCTGGACAATATATTGGGCCACCCTTCTGTCAGGAATAGAAGCTCAGAGGGGGCTGATGGCCCAGTACACACAGACAAGGGTAAGGGTATGTACATGGACGAGTTTTTGTAACCTAACCCTAGCCTTAAACCGGGAGAACTCTGAACTGTGCCACAGTGGCCCCACAAACGTTCGCCACAACCACAACCGACACTCCCACCTTGTAAGGACGTGAAGAGGAAAGAAAAGAAAGTCCGAACAAATCGTCGAAATACTGCTGTTTGCATAGCTATCCGAATTTGGGCGTCGAGTTTTTGTGGCGCTTACATTCATCATGGACAGTACCTAGAAACTTGAATTTGTGCATGCTTATTGTATGGTGATCTGAAATCAGCCTGAGCCTTTCATGTCACCATATGTTCATGTAGCGTTCATGATAGGCCTCCCATCAGCGTGCCACAACATGGGGCCCCCATCCTGAGCTCACATGATCGGCACCTATCTGTGAGAATGATTGATGTGACCAAACATCACACCTTCCGCCACAAAAAGACTACCCTGTTGCCACATTGCGTCCTCTGCTTTGAGACTCGCTATAGGACGTCGTACATAACTATCATAAGTAGTTGACTGAAAGACCCGCCACATACCATGGTGTTTTTACGTGGACCTCACTAAGAAGCAGATAATAGCCCGTTGAAAATGCTCCATAAGTACCGTATACGGACATTTACCCAACCCATCAGGGTGCGGCTCCCACCTCGGTAGAACATGCATCCTCAGGCTAAGGATCCTCTTGAATCGTCTCTATTCAGCCTTTGGGGGCCTAGTGCATCCTCAACTACGCCAACACTGCATAACAGGGCATGCCACGAGTACCGAAACCCGTGAGTACCTGCGACGAGTATCCATCAGGCACAATCCCGAGTACCTGTATTCGCGGATATGGATATTCATTCCCACGGATACCTCCCCGGATACAGGTGTAACAGGGAGCGGTAGCAGGTACCTCCTACGGGTACTCGTGTCGGATGTCACTATAAGAGCTCATTTCAGAGGATTAGAACAGACAGAAAATATATTGATCTCAGAGAGACACAAAAATAATACAAAGCAAGAGACTGTTGAAGTCCAAAGAGAGAAGGACTGTTGAAGTCCGGAGAGAAAAGTGTTGAAGTATAAAAAGGAAACCTATTAAAGTAATGAACGAGAAAAGGTCTATTAAAGTAATGAACGAGAAAAGGTAAACACTAGCAGCACCCACACCCCTACTCGACAACCTAGACATCGATATCGGACTCAATAGCCTTACCCTTTCCCTTGTTCGACCGCTTCGGCTTATCACGGAGGTCCTCAAGCAACTTGGCTTCATCTAAGACTCCGGGAATACCTAGCCTCAGCCAAGAACCGACGATTGTGGCGGCACGAACACTCTGATCAGATAGAGAGTGGCGAAGCTTCGAAACGGTGAGGCCTCCACGGGAGAAACCAGTCTCAAGGTCTGTTGAAGCAGCTGTAGTAACTAGTGAGTGCCTGACGAATATTTCGATGAATAAAAAGCTCACCAGGGCAAGAGAGGACATCAAGAGCCATGCAAGCAAGAGGGGCAGTACGGGGAGTGGTCGAGAAGGAATTCCAGTACCCAATAGGATCATCAGTGGGTACCAAGGGAGAATTGAGGTACTCTTCAAGAACATCGGTTGGCTCCAAATGGCCCATGTTCGGAGAGAAGACAGATGTTGCACAAGTACCAGGAGCCTACAACAATAAGCGTTAATAGTGATGCTATCGGACAGAATGAGAAATATCTTACTGGAGCTGCTGCGGGATTAGTATCGACATCAGGCTTGTAATGTTCAAGCCAGAGGTCGGTGATGACCTTGCGAGCTGCAGCTATCCAGTCGGTGCTCCATCCTGCTCTCGTGAAATAGACCATCTTAAGGCCAGGGTGGCATACTATAATGCAAAAGAACATAAGCATAGGCAAAGGAACGAATGAGATATAAAGACTTACTGATGCCACAGCGCGGAAGAATTGAGTCATCAGTGAGGGCATAGCACTTTTTCATGATCTTTAGACCGTTGAAGGCGGCAGCGCGGATTGCAATGGGAAGGTTCTCGTCACTGGCCTTGTCCAGGAACGTGATGAGGTTGTCCATGCCGGGAATGACTTCATAGAGGAACGGTCGGTTACGAGCCTCGAGGTGGACTATGGCCCAACGGAATTGCTAACAAAAAGACAAATATAAGAATGATCAGATAAGCAGAATTGAGAGTACTCACATCAACGATGGGATAAAGATGACCGAGAAACGTCCACTGCTCCTCGTCAAGGGCGAGATGCGTAAGCTTGTGCTTGGGATTCTCGGTGAGAAGTGCGACGGCGGGGCGAATCTGGAGCGCGACAGCGATGGTGTTCGTGAGTGACGTCCAGCGAGTGACAACTGCACGGGGTAGAATCTTCTCGGGAACCTTCTTCTGGACACAATACTGCCTGAGGGCACGTCGACGGGTAGAGCTGAAGTGTGTGCGACGAGCAATGAGCTTGATGCATTGGAATAGCCAGACGTGGGCTCTTCAGTACCCGCCGATCGAGGTTGAGCTCGTCCTCTATCAGCTCCCGCATCTCCTCCATCTCTATCTCATCGTACTCTTCCCTGTCCTCGTCAACCTCTCCATCATCCAACTCATCATCCGTCGCTCTCTCCTGCTCGTGTTCATCATCCTCGAGATCTTCCTCCTCACTCTGCTTATCATCTTCGAGGTCTTCCTCCGCATCCGACTCATTGACACCTTCATTGCCATCCTCCTCCTCGTCATCCTCTCCTTCACCATCACCAGCCTTCTTCTTCTTCGAGTTGAATGTGGCGAAGATAGCCTAAGGTGAAAGAAAAGCATGTCGCATGAGAATCTCTTCTGACACTAAACAATTAAAAAGAAATCATTCTCCGGTAGCATTCTGCCGAGACAATCGAGAGCGGTGAAGTTGTTTGCGGCGTTGTCGGCAATGCCTCCAAACAACTACATCAAAGATTTAGCATCACTCTTTGACAAAAAAGAGAAATTATGACTTACGGAGGTCTCGAGATCGTATGTCTTGATAGCACCATAGATGTGCTCTGCGAGTTGGCGGCCGGTATGCACAGTCTTGATGGGCACGTAATCGAGTAGGATGGAGCAGAGTTCGCCGTTATAGATCATGTAGAGCTTGAGCCCGATGAATGTGAGTGTGTTTGCGGAGGTCCAGCCATCGAATGCTATGTGCTTTCGGCCTGGAGTAGCCTGTGAAGGTTGGGTCAATACACACATCAATAGATCATAGAGAATAAAAAACTCAAACTTACTCGAATGACCTTTGTGATGTTCTTCTGACCAATCTTAAAGATCTCATGGGTATCACGCGAGATTGTCTGTTTAGACCAATCCTTGAAACCAGGGTGGAACATACTGAAGATCTTCAAAAGCCATTCATCGGTGACGATTGAGAATGGTCGAGAGGACGAGCAGCACCAGAAGACTTCATAGAGACTGGGCTTCTCGGGAGTGTCTGTCGAGCCATGAGCAAAATTGTTTACAGTTCCTTGGTTCGCCGGAAGCTCGGGATGTTTGGCATTGATGTGGTCCCATAAGTTACTTGTTGAATTATCGTAGCAAGCCCGCTTGACGACATGCTTGCACCTAGAAGAGAAGTTATAATATATTAGCATAGAATTTGAAAGGCTCATGCATAAAGGAACCTCACTTGGTGCACGAGAATGTGTACCTTACAACCCCATCCTCTCCCTCCTCAATCCCCGGCGGCATCTTATACTTCTTGTAAACAGATTTCGTGTCGTCTGTCTTCCACCCGTTCGAAACCTTTGCTGCAGCAGCTATGAGCTTCAACTAAGATAACAAATAGGAATGAAAGATACACACATAGTATATCCTCTAACGTAGTCAGCTCCGGCCTCCATTTTTCATTAAACTTGTCCATCTTCTTCTGTGCGGTTGTCTTCGACGAAGAACCCGTGTAAGAACCTCAGCTGACCGCGCAAACTGTGAGCTCAAGGATATGCTGCAAGTCTCGAACAGCCTTTCCTTCCATGCAGAACAGGGTTGCTCGAACAAGCACTTCTCTCATTACACTCACTATGAAGGATGATGGACATAGATACAGATGTCGTCTCGATGCAGACAGCAAAGGGTTTGAATCTCCCATTCATGTGACTGCAACAGGCGAGTAGTAGAGCATGAGGCGAAATAAGGTTACGAAACATGAACACCATCCGACTCTCTTCCAAACACCGACAAGAGACTCAAAACACATAGCTCTCTAGCCAATGGTATGTAAACGGACAGAAAGGTGGATGCAAGTAGACATTGTGTGGGTGAGATAACGGACCAAACCCGACTTGAATGGGTACAAAGTATCAAAAATAACGCTAGCTGAAGTGAGCACCATCACAGTTATGATGTGGTGATCATGTCGTATCCTATAAGTATACCAGAAAAATAAGAATTTTGGATAGTGCGAAGTAGGCCAAAAGAAAGTGTACTATGGTCGAGTTTGAGTAGAGACATTGCCTTTTTGAGGGGCTTGATGTGATGGAGGTATTAGCTCTGAGCCACGTGTTTGGCTCATGGTAGAAGGAACACAATTGCTGGGCGAGAATAGTGTTATTTGCCTTTGTGCAAGTGCACTTTATGAGTGATCTAGTGTTGTTGAGCGAGGAATAGATGCGGTTGGAGGCCTCAGGGTCAGAGTGACCTTCTTGAAATGCGTGAGACTGTTCTCGGCTAGATATTCCATCATGCTGGTAGCACCGCGCTTGTCCGCACTCTTATCATCCTCCTCAACATCTTGTCCGGAGTATTACGACGAGACAGAGGGAATTTCCCTGATATTTTAGCAATTTTTCCGGGACTGATAGGACCACTTACTGCAGAGTTATGACTTTAGTTATTTCGCCAGCCAGCG